TATGGTTTTAAGGAATTATACTGCATTCCACTCGCAAGTAAGTTTTATACTGATGAATAATACCTTGTACTGATGTTACGCATCACTGGTATAGTTTGCCACAGAGAAAAAAAAATAGTGCATGTCATACACTAACAGTATGCGCTACTGTAACAGCACGGCTTTGATCGGTGGCATAAATGTAACGTTGGAACTCAAAATAGTACATAATAACTTATTACCTGAGCTGATAACCTGTACCGCTCATAGATTGACAATAAAGTTGCGCTATTTTAAAGGAACTAGTTAGATCAGCTAGTTAGAACAGCTAGTTAGAACAGCTAGTTGAACAGCGGTATTTGGCGATTTTAGGCCTAAACTCTGAACATAACCTGGTAGCAGGTTAATTCTGCAGCGTAAGTTGCCATGGTTATTTAGCCAGGTTAAAAGAGAGCCACAGAAAACTCTGGCTCGTAGTACACCCCTCAGTAAGACAGTGCAAATGTGTACAAGAAGTGTGAGCATGTGTAAAATGTATCTATACCTCTCTGCCTCTTGCTCCCTTTTGAGGTCACTGGGGAAAATGATTTCAGTCTCATTGCCGCTGCTGTCCGAATGTCTCCCGCTCTTCTTTTTGTGTTTTTTCTTTTTTTTCTTCTTCTTTTCACTCTTCTTTTTCTTCTTTTTGGGTGGCACATCACCCTCCTCCTCCTCCTCCTCAGAGCTCACATATCCCCCTACACTGAGGATTATAAGGTGCACTTAATGTTAAGACAGTCGGAGAACAAAGAAAAGTATAAGAGAACAATTTAACTTCACAGGTCTATCTATTTATCTATAAACACCTGACGTTAGATATATTTGACTAAATTATACAGTACTTCTGATACTTGTTATAGGAGAGCAATAACATCAATATTTAGTAAGTTCATTTCTAAACAGAGTACTTCACGTTAAATAATATTGAAAAACACAAGGAAAAAAATGAGTCAGTTCAGTAAAAGGGAATGAGAGCATGGAGCATGTGTCAAACACTTGGCACCGTGGCTTTGTCATGTAAAAATAGTTTAAAGACCCAGGATTAGGCTTGCGACATTGCAGCTACCCAAAGGGAGAGGAGGATTGGCAGTGCCGAGTTTCCAGGATTATTATTATGCAGCACAAATCAGAACAGTGGCATGTTGGTGTAATATGGAATACGTAGCCAAATGGAAGGACATTGAAACAAATGGCGAAAACTACCAGATTCAAAAACTACTAGGGGATAAAGAATTATTTAGGACACAGGAAAACGTATTAGACCCAATTACAAAATTCACTTTAAACACTTGGAACACGGTAATAAAGAGATACAAAATAGGAAAACAGACAACGATTTTGAGATGGATAACAAATGATAATAAATTCCAACCGGGAAAAGAAGATACAGGTTTTAAGCGATGGGCCCGAGGGGGCATCACAGCAATATGTAGGATGGTGGAAAAAGGGGAAATGCAGAGTTTTCAATATCTAAGAGATAAGTTTGATCTGGAAAGGGGTGACCATTTTAGATACTTACAGGTGAGAGATTATTATATAAAATAAATACAAATTGATAAAACCACTAAACAAAATGGGGTAATTAAGGTAATGATAGAAGCATATGACGGGAAGAAAGGCAGGGTGATTTCAGCTCTATATCAGGCTCTGTTGGAGAGTAGGGGGAATTTAACTCTATATATAAAAGAAAAGTGGGAGAAAGAACTCGGGATTGATATGACAGAGGAAGAATGGTATACTGTATGTAGAGTGCAGCATTCAACTACTGGGTCTAGGGTATGGAGGGAATTTGGATGGAAGAACATAATCAGATACTTCATAACCCCAAAGATGAAAGGTAGGTATGCCCCGGAACAGAACGCATGTTGGAGGCAATGCGGCGAGGTGGGGGCAGACCACACAAAAAAACATGTAAATGTCAAAAGATGAAGGGATACTGGAAGGAAGTATGGGGAGTATTGAAGTGGATATTAGGTTATGAGGTTCCTAAGACCGGCCTGATGTTATACTTGGGGAATCTGGTACAGAAAAACACACAGGGTGGGGACAGATACCTGATAAAGGTGCTGCTGGCTGCCAGCAAGAAAACAATTACCAGAGCATGGTACAAAGCAGATCCACCTACGAAGGAGCAATGGCTGGGAGTAGTACAGGAAAGATTTGATATGGAAAGATTCACACACATATTGAGGGTCCAGGAAGGGACATTTGAGTCCAAATGGGAAAAATGGGTTGAATATAAAAGAAAAATGAACGAGACCACAAATTGAGAGTTGGAACCAGACCATGATGTTGCATTACAAATAGGATAGAAAGCTTCCATGTCACTGTTGTTGTTTGCTTGTTTTTATTATTATTTTTGTCCAGTATTTTGTCTGAAAGAAAAGAAGTCCTCGTTTCATATCTGTACCTTGATTCCTTTTCGTTCAGCCTCTCACTCGTCTTCTCAAAAAAACGACTGTGAAGAGAGAGGGCATCTTCAGTCTGGAAACTCTTATTTTTCAGCCAGTCTAATTCTAAAAGGGGGAGAGAGGGGGAGAGAGAGAGAGAGAGAGAGAGAGAGAGAGAGAGAGAGAGAGAGAGAGAGAGAGAGAGAGAGAGAGAGAGAGAGAGAGAGAGAGAGAGAGAGAGAGGATTAAAAAAAGATTCATAATCAGTAATCATGAGGAGGATTTAGAGGTTGTGACCAAGAGTATCAATCACTGAGTGTGTTTACATGGCAGTTTAAAAACAGTTTTGAATCCAATGTGAAACAGCTCAAATTAACGAAGGAGATACACTTCTGTTGTCTTGTTTTACTGCTGATTAAAAAATATAAATCCAGATGATGGGTAATTACACCAAAGTCTTGAAGCCAGAAACCTATCTGAGATAACACAGTCCGTACATAAATGACAGATTTACAGCCTGTGGATGAGCCATGATGTATTTTTATCTGTGTTAATGTTGAGCTTCAGATGTTTGCACCCTATGTGATTGTTTAGCTTGTCATCTTACCAGGTTACAAGATTGTAAATAACACATTCTTTTGCAGCCTTTAGAGTTGTTTAGGTTTTTTTTTTACCTTATCCTAAAAGAGGGTCTAAGGACATATTGTAAATCCCCAAGTGATATTGGTCAGTATATATAAAATTGACTTGAATGGACAAGCCTGCACTGCCAGAGGATCAGGCTCCTGGATAGTACTGGAACATTTCGACATGGACCTGAATATCCAGGTTCCTTTCAATGTAGAGGTCATGTCCCACATACTGTCACCAGCAAGACTCAAAAACAGGATTATAAAGTGTAAACACACCTGTTACTTGATAGAGGTTAACATAGAGAGACATTTCTCCCTAAAGCTTATAAGGAGGAGAATTTAGTCAAAAAACTACAGACTTGTGCCTCAGCCCTTTAGGTTCGGTTATTAACACACGCCTTGTAGAGGATTACTGGCCATATTCAGTTCACTTTTATAGATTCGTTATAATGTGGACTTGCTAACGCACAACACAACAATAACGCCTAATTGTCTTTGTTTATTTGAATGTTGCACTTGCATCATATACAGTGTAAACACATATTCAGACAGTATACTAACTTCCAGAAGTAACCGTAGAGGAATGTAAACTGCTTGACAGAGCTAAGCTAGCTTCGTCATTCAGACGTTAGGACAGCTAATGTCAGCTAGCTCGTGCTTCAACGGGTTCCTCTCTCAACATAATGACAACAGAGTATTAGAACCATTATTAATTCATTTAAATATGAAGTGCTAACCGTTGGACGAATCTTCAACTTTGTTTGGCTCTACTTCTGCAAAAGCTGGAAACAGAGCCATGATGATGTCGCATGTAAACAGTCGCACGACTATGACGTCACTTGACGATTACAAAAACACATTTACAAATGAACGGACCCAATTTTATCTGTAAATTCAAACTTCTACTGGAAAATGTGACGTTTATGAAAAATGCAATTATGCCAACAGTATGGGGGGACTGCAATTGAAACAGAGCAGCACCTCCTCACACAATGTCAACAATTTGAACATCGGAAACAAATCTTCCCAAAACTCAATAGTAAGCATCCCCAAATATTTAAAAAAGAAAATGAAAAACTTAAAATATTACCCGGGGAAATAAAGAAAGCTGCAGGACAGTTTGTCTCTGCCTGCCACAGTATGAGCGACTGACATCTCACGCCAGGCCTCACATCTCGTCTTTTTTAATTGTTATTATCATTTTATTTTTAATGTATTATATTAATTTAATGAATTTTCCTTCCTTGTGTTCCTGAAATGAGCAGTTCGCTTCAAATATGTATTTGTGTATGGATGTTGCAACGATACAGAGCTTTAGCGATATTGCATGTAATTATGGTTATGCTAATAAAGCTATTGAATTGAATTAATATGTGTCTCTGAGTGTAGAGTTTTTGTAGGTGCAGACCAGGGGGGTACGCTCGTTCAGTAATCCATCCCTGAGTTAGATAACCTTTATATATACAGTCTATGTAGATAACCTATGATTGGCTTAATACACATAAAAAAACACAAGATTTGTATTGTATCATTGTAGAAAAAGGTCATAGGTAGGCCTACGTGCATAGATGTTGTGGCCCACATGATCTATGCACGTACCTATGACCTTTTTCTACAATGATACAATACAAATCTTGTGGGGTTGGGTTTTCATTGAGATTACATATTGCTTACTGTGCATACAAAGGGTGTGTCTGCAGAAACGCTGCTCCGCTGGATGTAGTACAAGCTTTGAGACTTTGCTGTGGTTCTTTCAAAACGACACCTGTGACAACATCAGGTCAGGGAGACATTTATATTATTGAAGACAAATAGAGTTAAGAAATATGTATATATCTTTTTTTATTGTTAAATGTGTTTTTCTTATTGTTATAGGAGGTAGAGCATTATGTTCCACACTCCAATACAGTAGGTGGCGGTAATGCACCTTTAACGCTGATCACCCGCCATAAAAACCGTGAAAAGACGAAGCAGAAGCAGAAGAAAAAGAACGTTGTTCCTGTCACACCTTATTCTCCGCTTCGTTCGCAGCTGAATCACTGCAGTCCAACAACTTAGTCTTTTTCGGTCTTTGTTCACCAAAATGAGGGAAATCGTGCACCTTCAGGCTGGCCAGTGTGGAAACCAAATTGGATCCAAGGTAAAAGCTCAGATTAAACAGTAAATGATTTCCTCCTTTATAAAGTGCGTGGATGTGTAATTTAGTTTGGGCGGGCCGGTTAGCCTACTTAGCAACAATGCTAATGATAGCTACCTACTCGTTAAGATAAGTCATACAGTTATCAGATGATTTGACCGTTGTTGTGTTTTATTCTCTTCTAGTTTTGGGAAGTCATTAGCGACGAGCATGGCATCGACCCAACCGGGTCATACCATGGGGACAGCGACCTGCAGCTGGATCGCATCAACGTGTATTACAACGAGGCTTCAGGTTAGCTTTGCTTTGCCTTGCCAAATTCTCAACTCTGCGCCACTCCTCTATGCGGAAGGATTGTTAATCGGCCTACCGGAGCCACCTAGCGGCGGATCCCTCCGCTGGTAGCCGCAGGGAACTACAATCTGCCATGTCACTTCCTAGTTGCTGTCGCAGCAGAAAAAAGTCAAAAATAATGATACGGTCTTAAACAAATACTAGGTTTTCACTCATTGTAAAATCTTGTCTGCATAATTAAGTGAATAACCTTGTTTCCTTTTTTACATATTAATTTCATTTTCATGAAACGATACGCTGTTATAGGGTGTGACCGTGTGCTGTAAAACACCGGACTCTATTATCACGTCATGCATACAGATATTTTTTTCAAAATGCTTTTTTGCTGCGTTTGGTCATACTTCAAAAGGCACAGTATTAAATTCAACTACACGAAAAAGGGTAGAAAAGCGAGAAGGTCTTTTCTTGAGGAATTATTTCAGCAACGTGTGTAAATGGCTTCAGATAATAAAGCTCTTTGTGTTTGGATCACCAGGCGGAAAGTATGTCCCCCGGGCAGTGCTGGTGGACTTGGAGCCCGGCACCATGGACTCAGTGAGGTCCGGTCCCTTTGGCCAGATCTTTAGACCAGACAACTTTGTCTTTGGTAAGGATGTAAAACAATTCTTGTTTTAACTTGGGTTGATAAAGTTGTCCACTTTTGTTACATAGGGATTTTGTTGAGTAAGTTGACAGTATCAGTAGAACTATCATTCCTTTCTTGTGTTAGTGTATGCACTGCTCATTGACATTTAAATGTGTTTGCAAGTATAATTCAGTCATTATTCTAATAGATCCAGGACGTGTTGCCACATGTTATAGAGTTGTGTGTTTGCATGTGACACAGGCCAGAGCGGAGCTGGTAATAACTGGGCTAAGGGTCACTACACTGAGGGAGCCGAGCTGGTGGACTCGGTCCTGGATGTGGTGAGGAAGGAGGCGGAGGGCTGTGACTGCCTGCAGGGCTTCCAGCTCACACACTCCCTGGGTGGAGGAACCGGCTCAGGCATGGGCACGCTGCTCATCAGCAAAATCCGAGAGGAGTATCCCGACCGCATCATGAACACTTTCAGCGTGGTGCCTTCGCCTAAGGTGCTTATAATACACCTATATACTGCAACATTAACTATTTTTCTCCTGTTACTTCTGCTTTAATGCAACTCCTTCTCCCTCCCCCGACCTCAGGTTTCAGACACAGTAGTGGAGCCGTACAACGCCACCCTCTCGGTCCACCAGCTGGTGGAGAACACAGATGAGACCTTCTGCATTGATAATGAGGCACTGTATGACATCTGTTTCCGCACGCTGAAGCTCACCACCCCCACCTACGGAGACCTCAACCACCTCGTCTCAGCCACCATGAGCGGGGTGACCACATGTCTGCGCTTCCCCGGCCAGCTCAATGCTGATCTGAGGAAACTGGCTGTCAACATGGTGCCCTTCCCCAGGCTGCACTTCTTCATTCCGGGCTTCGCCCCGCTGACCAGTCGTGGCGGCCAGCAGTACAGGTAAAGAGACTGTCAGATCCTCAAGTTTTAATAGAATAGAAGGATTTTTATTGTCTTTGTACTCGGGGTAAAATGACATTTTGAGATGCTTATAGTACTATTTAAACTTCATTTATTACAGATTATTTTAATTAATGCTAATCCATATGTTAATTGATTGATGCATTTAAAATATATTTGGTGGTCGTTCTTCCTGCAGGTCGTTGACGGTTCCTGAGCTCACCCAGCAGATGTTCGACTCCAAGAACATGATGGCAGCCTGTGACCCGCGCCACGGCCGCTACCTCACGGTCGCCGCCATCTTCAGAGGCCGCATGTCCATGAAGGAAGTGGACGAGCAGATGTTGAATGCACAGAACAAAAACAGCAGCTACTTCGTTGAGTGGATCCCAAACAACGTGAAGACTGCCGTCTGCGACATTCCTCCCCGTGGCCTCAAGATGGCCGCCACCTTCATCGGCAACAGCACGGCCATCCAGGAGCTGTTCAAGCGCATCTCAGAGCAATTCACTGCCATGTTCCGCCGCAAGGCCTTCCTCCACTGGTGAGTCAAATAATGATGAGACCGGGAGAAGTTCCTCTACCTGTGCTGGACCTTTTTATATGTAGGGAACATTTTGCGTGGCCCAATTTAGTTGCATGCTTTCTTTATCTCTATGATGTTGTTTTTAAGTGGACAGAGCAGTATTATCTGCCTGTTCATGGTTTTTACTAATCGGTATCCGTTTGTAGTTATTACGGCACCATTTTAATATGTGTATTAAATGTATACGTGTACAATTAATCCTGGCAAAATATGTTTTTTTTGTTGGCATCTACATGGATATAAGCCCTGCTTCCTTGCCAGCGCCTGTAGTTTGAGTTACACGAGTATACACAAATGATACTGCGGTAAAACTCAATGTAATTGATTATTCTGCCAAAATGTTACTAGATTAATTGTTCGATCTACTGAATGTCCAAACGTTTAAAAAAAAAAAATAAGGGCTGCACGATTTGGAAAAAATAACTATTTGCAATTATGACTGACAATTGTATGCATCAATGTCATTTCATAACCCCAAATCTCTCCTAATACAAAAACATAAATCTGAATCTTAATTTCTCTACATAAATATTGAAAGTTGTATGCAGTGAGTAATATTTCCTTGTTTCAGGTACACTGGCGAGGGCATGGATGAGATGGAGTTCACAGAGGCTGAGAGCAACATGAACGACCTGGTGTCTGAGTACCAGCAGTACCAGGACGCCACCGCTGAGGAGGAAGGCGAGTTTGAAGAAGAGGGCGAATATGAAGATGGAGCCTAGATGCCCACAACAACCTTTTTCTCTCCCAATGCAACAGTTAATTAAAGAGGTCATATTATGCTTAGTTCCAGGGACCGATTTGCATTTTGTGCCTCTTCTGTGACATGTTTACATGGCTTAATGTTCAAAACGTGCTTTATTTTTCTCATTCTGCTGCTGTATTCATTTGTGATAATGTAACAGTGACCAGACCAGGGGACTAATCACTGAATGTGACAATTACTGTCTGATGTGCAGTGTTATTCTTTTGCCAAAACAAATCATAGTTTACACTAAAAGCTACAAATAGTGTCAGGAACTTGTCTCTGTTATAATATTCCTGATGTGCTTGTAGTGGTAAATTGGGATCAAATGTGATTTTAATAAAGATGTATTATTTGGTTCCAAATTGTGTTGTTACTTTTGTCTCAACTGAACTATGACCAATGTTTTATTTACTGAACTTATGAAGTAGACTAATTTGTTAGCTTGAATTGAAGCCAATTGCTGCCAATAAGAGTGAAAAAAGGATACTCTGTAACTATCTCAAAATCATGATTTTGAACAACATTAAAGATTCAGATCGAAGACTCATTTACGAAGTACTTTCAATACTTGTAATTAAAAATGATTCAACTCTTGACCCATACATTAATTCCTTTTCGTTTAGCCTCTTGTCTTATCCGAAAAACAACCTTGAAGACGGAGGGCATCTTCAGTCTGAAAACTCATTTCTTATTTTTCAGCCAGTCTAATTCTTCAACTGTAAATATAGTACACAAATTACATGTATACAAGCTTACATTACTGGCCAAATGAAGAAACCTTGTGCATCAGATAAGATGTTATTAGGCCCTCTTTCACCCTCTTGTGACTAAATAGATTATTTATTAATTCCCCTTCCTCCATACTGACCTGGCGTGAGGGATTAGTAGAATAGCCAACTAATGCTGCTGATTTTGAGACAATGGGCCTCTGCCCTGTGTACAGACATGCAGAAGGCCCCACAATCTCTCCTACATAGCAGCATTGCACACTGAGCTGTTAATCCTCCTGTTTTGTTTATTTCTGATTGATATGTAGGCCTACCTCTGAAGTGTAGCCTGCTTGTCACCTAATAAACACACAAAACAATTATGATATTGTCATAGATACAAATCGTTAAGGTATATACAAAGGAATGATGTTAATCATATTTTCATGGGTCTTTGTGTTGCCTCAATGTAGACTCTTATCTATTCTTTATTTGAGCAGCAGGAAGGCTTGTGTACTAGAGAAGAAAAGAAAATGAATACTAAAATGTAAGATAGGTTGTTTTTTAATTCAAACTACTAAATTAAGAATTATACATGCAAAGTACCTCTGCTGAAACGCTGTTGTGTTGTGTTACCCAGACAACCTAGCCCCCTTACCAGTCAAAACTCTAAACCAAGTTTTTCGACCAATAAGATGACTGCTGAGCTTTGAGTGACATGAATTTGGACCTATCGCGTTAATCAGCCAACAGTAGATTGAAACACTCCCATCCTCTCCAGTTAGTTCGTAGCTGGATCACTACAGAGTAACAACTTTGTCTTTTTCAGGCGTTTGAACGTTTTTAATTCAACCAAAATGAGGGAAATCGTGCACCTACAGGCAGGCCAGTGTGGAAACCAAATTGGAGCTAAAGTAAGAGTAGTTTATATTTAAAAGTGAATTCTTAACTCATTCATAAAGTGCGTGGATATTTACATTTGTTTGGGTGGGCTGATTAGCCCAGTTAACAACAATTATAATGATAGCTACCGACTCGTTAAGCTAAGTCATGCTAGTTATCAGGTAATTTGACCGGTGTTGTGTTCAATTCTCTTCTAGTTTTGGGAAGTGATTAGCGATGAACATGGCATCGACCCGTCCGGGACATACCATGGGGACAGCGACCTGCAGTTGGAGCGAATTAACGTGTATTTCAACGAGGCTTCAGGTTAGCTTCTCTTTGGCTGCGAGCTACAGTTGGGTAATATAGCCAGTTAAATAAAGATGTAACTAAGGTAACGCTATACAACGCGGAAGGATTGTTAATCGGCCTAACGGAGCCACCTAGCGGCGGATCCCTCCGCTGGAAGCGTCTGGAACAACAATGGGGCGCTGCTCTGCTCTCCTTCCTAATTACTGTCGCAGTTTCCAGGATACGGCAAAAGTCAACAAAACCTCCAGATAATAATACTGTCCCAAACAACAATACCGCTTTAACTTCTTATAATATTCGGTGGACATATATTAGCGAGTAACTTTGTTTATTTAGAATTCTACTTAATTCAATCAATTAGACTTATATTTTCAGGAAACGATAAGCTTTTAATGTAATCAATTACTGTACACTTGACTGTATTAACATGCAATAAAAACAATTGTAAAAAATAATTCAGTTAACAATATGCTTTTTGCTGTGTTTGGTCATTAGTCAAAAGGCAAAATATTTTATTAAACTTAATTAAAAGAGGAAGAAAGACAAACGGGGTGTAGCTTTTACAATGCTTTTGAAAAAAAAACACTTAATTTACAAAAATTAATTGTCTTGTGTTTGGATCACCAGGTGGAAAGTATGTCCCCCGGGCAGTGCTGGTGGACTTGGAGCCCGGCACCATGGACTCAGTGAGGTCCGGTCCCTTTGGCCAGATCTTTAGACCAGACAACTTTGTCTTTGGTGAGATTATGAACATTTCTTGTGTTTTATCCTGGGTTGATGAAGTTGCCGTACTGTGATTAATGATAATTGAACAATTTAATTGAAAAAGAGTTCACAGAGATTAACAATAGAAAACCCCCATTTTAAATGTAACTATCGTTCTTTTTAATTGCAGCACAAAAAAATTACATGACAAAAAATCACATAATGTTTTTAACTCAACAAGCATTTTTCTTGTATTTTAGCAGTATATCTATGTATAGCAGTATGCTTTAATGTGTTTATACTTATCTTGATTAATGTTGTTAATCATAGCGTATATTTTCCGTATATTATGCAGCCCTGATCTAGTTTCACTCATAACTCTTTAAATTAGTACCTGCAAAAGTATAATGACTTCCTTTATAATGTAGACCAGGATGGGTTGATACCACAGCTTTGATAGTTGTGTGTTTGCATGTGACACAGGCCAGAGCGGAGCTGGTAATAACTGGGCTAAAGGTCACTACACTGAGGGAGCCGAGCTGGTGGACTCGGTCCTGGATGTGGTGAGGAAGGAGGCGGAGAGCTGCGACTGCCTGCAGGGCTTCCAGCTCACACACTCCCTGGGTGGAGGAACCGGCTCAGGCATGGGCACGCTGCTCATCAGCAAAATCCGAGAGGAGTATCCAGACCGCATCATGACCACTTTCAGCGTGGTGCCTTCCCCCAAGGTGCTTATATAATACACCAAAATACTCCAACATTAACTATTTATCTCATCTTACTTCTGCTTTAATGCGACTCCTTCTCCCTCCCCGACCTCAGGTTTCAGACACAGTTGTGGAGCCGTACAACGCCACCCTCTCCGTCCACCAGCTGGTGGAGAACACAGATGAGACCTTCTGCATTGATAATGAGGCGCTGTATGACATCTGCTTCCGCACACTGAAGCTCACCACGCCAACCTACGGAGACCTCAACCACCTCGTCTCAGCCACCATGAGCGGGGTGACCACCTGTCTGCGCTTCCCCGGCCAGCTCAATGCTGATCTGAGGAAACTGGCCGTCAACATGGTGCCCTTCCCCAGGCTGCACTTCTTCATGCCCGGCTTCGCCCCCCTGACCAGCCGAGGCAGCCAGCAGTACAGGTAGAGAGACTGTCAGACCCTCAAGCTGTATTTTTACTGTCATTATACAGAGTTACAATAACATTTTGCAAGGGTTCTCTTGCTGTAGTAAATAAAACAAAAATATTGAATAGCTGTAAAAATCATATATCCTTCATTGGTCCCGCTGCGGTGGGCTTTTACAACAGCAAAGGGACAGTGCAAATGAAAGGCAACAAATTAAATGCCTAGTATATAAAATAAAGAAGCAAGCTCCAGCTTAAAAAAATCAAATATGTACACTACCATTGTAGAAAAATACCAGAATTATAAAAGTAAGTGAACGAGCGGAATGTAATAAGTAAGGGATAATGTGCAGCGAGGCGGTCATTATGGGGAAAAGAACACCCGACAGGCTTGTCAGGAGCCCGACACGAAGCGGTCAATATTAATTTAAATGCTATAGTAGGCTATCATTGATTTTTAAATGACATGCATCCGCTAAGAAAAATTGTCCGTTGTTACTGTTTGAACTACGTAGCAACGGCAGAAACTGCTTCAATAGTGTTTTTGCAGACCTTTTTGATCACAGATTTGAAAACATCGTTGCTTGCTTTAAAAGTAGCACAATTCATTATGTCAAACCTTGGAAAGTATCTAGATATCCCTGCCCTAATGCCAAAGTAACTGGCAACTGAATATGTTTTGCCGTTTGATGTCTATGTCTGGACCGTTGCGTAAAAAGGAGGGTTTCTGCCCCGTTACTTCTCCGCTGTTTTCTTGTCCCAGTTCGAGCCAAACTGTATACAGTTAAATCGACCGGACTTCTTTCTGCAGATGTGAGCGTCCTTAACAACGGCCAATAAGTCCTTGACAGCGGTCTGTCTGTACTGGATTAACAACGTGTCAGGTGTTCTGAATTGACCAATCAGAATCGAGTATTCAGCTAAGCCATGTAATAACATTAGTTAATATAATAAGAACCAGTCATAAAAACAGTAGTAGCATTATAATAACAAATGTCACGTGTGAAACTAAATTAACTAGGGCTGTCAACGAAACGCATTTAGAATAGCAATTTATCTGGAGACCATAACTAAATTAAAGATCTCCTATTATGCTATTTTTAGGCATATATTATGGGTCTCGGATATATACAAATATATAAAAAACATGTCTATGATGTGTTTTGCTCAAAATACCAAACAGATCATGCATTTTAGACATCCCTCATATCCCTCTCTTTCAGCCCTGTTAGAGAAACGCTGATTCTGGGTCCTTAGCTTGAAGAAAAAAAAAAGAGAGGGAGCTTATGCCTGCTCAGAGTTCTATGAGATACAGCTAAATCAGCCGTGGCGTTACCCACCCATTCATTGATAAAAAATGACTGGGCGAAAATATAGTTTCCAACATTTTTGATCAAAATTAACAATTTCAAAAAATAATAAAATTAAAAGCAACATTAATTAACGTAATCAGGCCGAACTCATAGTCGAAGCGCGGGAGCAAACGCATCGTAGAACGTCTCGCGGCCGCGCGCAGACAAAGGAGGACAGTGGACTGGACAGACACAAAAAATATACCGCGCTCACTAACGATGTCACAACAATCGATGTTCAGGTTTACACAGCCAAAGCTCATAAAGTACCCTCAGACACTTTTCGGACAAAAGAAAAGGAGCTTCACTGCTCACTGGTATGACAAGTACACATTCTTGGAGTATAGCATTAGCAAGGACAGTGTGTTTTGTAAAATGTGCCGGCGGAGAAGATACATTCAGTCGCCATGGTTACAAGGACTGGAAACACATCTACTATGCTCTCAGTAAACACGAATGTCATTCTAGGCATAGCCTATTTTTATTAGATTATTAACAAAAATCGCGAGAAAACATTTGAACAGGCCCAGCCGAAATTACATTGGCCCACCCACAATTGAAATCCTGGCGCCGTGATTAAATGCCATATCATGTTCCAAACCACATCAAGGATTATTTCTGAAACAGTATGGAGCTCAAATGCTTTTTCTCTTGCGGGTTTACCACAAGGTGAGTTCCTTTTTTTATTTCCTGCTTTTTTACACATACTCTCTCCAGTACAGGTTAGCTCTGAGTGTTAGCGATGCTTGCTAATGTAAACAAAGACCATATTACGTCCAAAACACGTCATGCATTGTTTCTGATTAGCAACGTTTCTGATAGTGCTGTGGGTGTAAAGCCAGCCCACATTTCCGATATGACGTCATATCGGACGCAAATCTGGATCAGCTCCGTTGTAGCCCCGTTTTTAGAGATTTGGGTACGGAGGAAAAGAGAGAGGGTTTTATTTTGCCGATATGACGTCAAATCGGCAGCGGACCCACAGCACTATCAGAAACATTGCTATCAGAAACAATGCCCGACTGTCTTGGACGTAATATGGTTGGTGTTTACATTAGCATCGCTAACCTGTACTGGAGAGCGTGTGTGTGTGTATAACCGGCAAGAGAGAAAGCCTTTGAGCTCCATACTGTTTCAGAAATAATCCTTGATCTAATAATCCTTGTGTTTCATCACCGCAGCATTTTAGACAGTATCTGCCAGGTCCCGCATGGGGTCTCATTCTCAAGAAAGACCTGTTTATACCCAGAATCAGCACTTTTGGAATAGGGAGAGAAATAGAGGGATATGAGGCATGGATAATAATAAATCTTATTGGATGCTCTGTCTTGCCCCAGGGCGTTGACGGTTCCTGAGCTCACCCAGCAGATGTTTGACTCCAAGAACATGATGGCAGCGTGCGACCCGCGCCACGGCCGCTACCTCACGGTAGCCGCTATCTTCAGAGGCCGCATGTCCATGAAGGAAGTGGACGAGCAGATGTTGAATGTGCAGAACAAGAACAGCAGCTATTTTGTTGAGTGGATCCCAAACAACGTGAAGACTGCCGTCTGCGACATTCCTCCCCGTGGCCTCAAGATGGCCGCCACCTTCATCGGCAACAGCACGGCCATCCAGGAGCTGTTCAAGCGAATCTCAGAGCAGTTCACAGCCATGTTCCGCCGCAAGGCCTTCCTCCACTGGTGAGTGATAGAGGGTTGACGGATTGATCACCTTACATTTTTTTCAAGATGAATGGTTTGGCCAAATAAATGTCAAGAAAGATTGAAAGTTATATGCAGTGAGTAATATTTCCTTGTTTCAGGTACACTGGCGAGGGCATGGATGAGATGGAGTTCACAGAGGCTGAGAGCAACATGAACGACCTGGTGTCTGAGTACCAGCAGTACCAGGACGCCACTGCTGAGGAGGAGGGCGAGTTTGAAGATGAAGGCGAAGAGGAGCTGGCCTAGAAGCCAAGCCCAAACGCATCATTGTAGAATTATTGACAATTGGCCTTTCATCAGTAAAACTACAGTTTCAAAGAATCGCACAGTAGTTCCTCTGAATGTCGCACAATGATAACAGTTCTTGTCCAGCCTTGTTTTTTAAATGTCTTTGTTTTTTTTAAGGGGATATTTTCTAATATATTCGAATCAACTAGCCAGGACATACACTTGAATGGCTTTTATTTAAATACTTAGGGCCTACGGTTGTTAAATGTGAAGCTGAAACCAGGCGTGACCTAAAGAGAATACTTTATTATCTCTCTCCCCCCCCTCCCCTCTGGTCGCTACAATGAGGAAATGAAATTACGGGCCAAAAGTTTTATTTACAATTATTAAAAGTAAGCATAGGACACCAAACCAACCGAGACCTGTCTGTCTGCCGCATCTACGCACACACACACACTGTACCACACGCACCTACACACTGTACAACACGCACCTACAGCTCCTAAAGCATATAATATCAGGCTACAGCCGTTGTGTATTTTATTATGTGAAGCACTAAATGGTTTTAGACAAATATCGACTCTTTGTTTGTAGATATCTACTAAACTAAAGCAAATAAAGAGAGTAATGTAGGCCTGTTATACTGAGTGATATATATTATACACACTGCTCTGCTTTCTGCACGGACCTCACAGCTGTTTTTTTTTCTCCATTTAATCGTTTATTTGAAGAGGGACAGTGCACATTGATTGAAAACAAATAATGCTTTAAAAACGTAAACATGCCGGATTTTAGCTTTGAGCTAGTTTCCATCTCCAAATTAGATAGTAAGACAATGATTTTAGAAGCGTTGTCATCATTTTGTTTATAGCTTCTCATAATAATGACTTACGGACTTAGTGGCAGAAATGGGCTTCCATACATTTGTGACTGCGACCATTTGACTTATCGCGTCACAGAAAATAAGAAATTATTCAGTATATGGGGGAAGATGAAAATGGCAGGTTTCTGTAAGACTGGGCAACATAACAAGTCCAAATGCACATAACACTGTGGCTAGGTGTGGTTCATAATCTTACTTATCAATTTAATTTATATCTATGCATATGAAGATTATACTCTTGTGATATTTATGCAAAATCAATGATAGAAGCATCCTATGCAAAGTGTCTGTCCATCCAAAGCAGATCCCTTTTGTCACGTTAACAGATAACTGCTTAACTCTTCTTTAACCCTCATCAAGCTCACTTACAGTGCATCCGGAAAGTATTCATACCCCTTCACCGTTATGTTACAGCCTTATTTCAAAATGGATTAAATTCATTTTTTTTCTCAACATTCCACACACAATACCCCATAATTACAAAGTGAAAACGTTTTTAAAGAATTTGTTGCAAATGTGTTAAAAATAATAAAATGAAATATATAATTATATGTTTCTATAACTTGATTGGAGTCCACCTGTGGTATATTCAATTGATTGGACATGACTTGGAAAGGAACACATCTGTCTAGATAAGGTCCCACTGTTGACAGTGCATATCAGAGCACAGACCAAGTCATGAGGTCCAAGGAATTGTCTGTAGACCTCAGAGACAGGATTGTATCAAGGCACAGATCTGGAGAAGGGTACAGAAATGTTTCTGCAGCATTGAAGGTCCCAACGAGCACAATGATCTCCATTATTCCCAAATGGAAGATGTTTGAAACCACCAGGGCTCTTCCTAGAGCTGGCCGCCCGAACCAAACTGAGCATTTCTCAGTCACCTTATGGCGCAGTTCCACTACACGGTCGGCCTCGGCCACGCTCGGTACGGCTCGGTACGGCTTGGCCTTAACAGGGCCGACTCACTTCATGCTGCGCTTCCATTACAGTTTAGGAACTGGGGTAGTTACTATAGTAACGCAGTGTAGGCGGAGCCGTGACGTCATCTTCAGAGAACTCCAGAAACACAACACAGCCGTTAGCTGTTAGCACTCAGAGCTCACAGCTCCTTATATATGTTCAGAAACTCGACAAAAGTTAAACAAGTACACACCACAGACTGCCTGTGTCATGGTGAATACAGTCGCTGCTTTATTTATGTCTGTATAGGCCGTTGTTGTGAGTGTGGACGGTCGGAGCATATACTGCGTTAGCTTAGCCAATCTCCATCTAGAAAACACGCATTTTAAAAGGTTTTTCGCCTGCCGTCTGTCTGCAGACTTGACAAAGCATTAATTCATGGTTTTTACTAACCGGTATCAATATGTTGTTACTTCGGCATCATTTTGAAACGTGTATTACAATTAAATCACGGTCAAATATGTCCATCTTGTTGTAGTTGTAGCCCCCTTGCCAGCGCTCCTCTCTCTAGTTTAGCATACTCAGCCCGACTCAGCCCTGTTTGTTGGCCTCGATAGAACCACAATTTTCTCGGGCCAGAAAAGACGTGAAAAAGTGGCCCCGGGCCGGGCCGGCCCGGAACTAGGCCTAGTGGAAGCGCAACCAAAAACGGGCTCGGCACGACACGGCACGCTTAAAGCGAGCTCCGCGCTGTAGTGGAACTGCGCCATTAGTCACCTGGTAGTCACACCCTGTTTCTCTCTCACACTCTGTTGCACCCAACAGCTCCACTAGTATATAGGCCCCCTTCACTCTCACCTCAGTGCCAGATCGTACTTCGCAACATGCAAGTCTTTCCCGTATTACCTCCCAGATTGCTCTCCCGGTTTCAACCTTGCCTGTCCCTGACCAGCCTACTTCGCCCGTTTCCCGACCCTGCCTGTCCCTGATTATTCTGCCTCGCCTGTTTCCTGACCCTGCGTCTCCCGTCTTGCCTACCCTCGCCTGTCCCCGACCAGCCCTTTGCCTACTGTCTGCCGGTTTGTCTTGTACCAGAACTGTTCAGTTGAAACAACTTATAATAAAGCTGGTTACCGACTTTCCCTGGTCTCCTGTGTGTTGCACTTTGGTTCTCAGCTCGTTCGTGAGATAGTCTGACAGAGCTCCAGTGTTCCTCTGTGGAGATGGGATAACCTTCCAGAAGGACAACCATCTCTGCAGCACTCCACCAATCAGGCCTTTATGGTAGAGTGGCCAGAAGGAAGCCACTCTTCAGTAAAAGGCACATGAAAGCCCCCATGGAGCACCTAGAGGAGTCTCAGACCATGAGAAACCAAATTGTCTGGTCTGATGAAACTAAAATTGATCTCTTAGGCCTGAAGGCCAAGTGCCATGTCTGGAGGAAACCAGGCACTGCTCATCACTTGGCCAATACCATCCCTAGAGTGGTGGTAGCATCATGCTGTGGGGCCATCAACAAATACTCCATTGACAGGTGGAGATCAAGCCCCCAGGAAGTGCGCCGGACTCTGAGGAAAATATTCGTTGTGGCCAAATGGCGGTACTACACTTCCGTATGGGTTGCTGGTCCCAGAAACACTTTTTCCCATTGACTTACATTGGGAAAGAGTGGTCTGTAAATCGTTGGATAATTTTTTTTTTAAACTAAATATACCCAGTATGAACATTTGTATAGCCCTTATTAAAAACATTCGGTCCTCAAGTTGTAAAATGTGCTAATAACGTTATTATGAGAGTTATTTTCCTCGCCATTATGAACGTGCATCTGAGAGTGGGAGCTCGGGGGCGGGGCTTAAGGGGCAACTCAACTGCGCATGCTCTATGAGTGCACATACGGGTACTTCTGCTCTGACAGCCAGGCATGACGGGTAATCTGTGACGTTTCGCTCTCTCAAAAGTTGGGCCATTTTGTCCTCATGCGCCAATGAGCAGCTCTCATAGGAAAGAACGAGACCCCGCCTCCCACGCTGTATCCAGTTCTTATTATACATCCATGGTGGAGATGGGAGAAATGCCTGAAACAAACTAGAGATTTGTCGAGAGGGACTACTACAACTAGAAAGACTACAAATCCCAGAGTCGCGTAAGTGATGTCACAATTGTTTTCCTCCACTAAGAGATAGCTAAGATCAGCGCCATATAGATATAATCTATCTATATGGCGCTGGCTAAGATAAAATAACTTTAACAAGATGCCTGTGTGCTTAGTACCAGGTTGTTATCATACCAGCAATGGGTCTTGCTCGTTCTTTCGCTTCCCGTCTGATGAAAGGACCAGGAGTGTCTGGATCAAGCTAGCTAGTAGCTAGCACGTTAGTTAGCATTACAGCCTTGTCATTTTTATTAGCCTTAACATGAAGTAACATTAAAGGGCCCATGTCATTGGAAATTACTCAATAACCAGCTTGGCTGCAGTAAAAAACTCAAAACGAGATTTTCAAACTTAAACATAAAGACAGATAACAGGCTCATCATAGACAAACTGGATGTGGCCAAGTACTTGAACATTTTTTTCACAAACATAGCCACAACTCTTGTAAATAAATTACCCTCCCACTCAGGGCTTTTTGGAGTAGATCACATCATGACCTACTACAAAAACCTAGGAGTACGCAAAGATGATTTCAGTCTAGCAAGGGTAACAACAGCAGAGGTACTCATTAAACTGAGCGCCCTCAAACCTAACAAGGCCACTGGCCACGACAATATCCCCTCCAAATTCCTCAGAGACACAGCAACCGCCATCTCACCAGTCATAGCTCACATAATTAACCTCTCCATAAAACAGGGAAAAGTACCCAAAGACTTCAAAATTGCAAGAGTAACCCCCGTGCACAAAAAGGGCAGCAAATTGGACCCAGGCAACTACCGCCCTGTTTCTATACTTACCTCCATCTCGAAAGTCATGGAAAAAATAGTATATGAACAGGTCGAAAAGTACCTCGCGGAAAAGAAACTAATCTATGAATTTCAATCTGGCTTTAGAACATCCCACTCCACTGACACATGCCTTCTTTATTTGAACGACCACATCAAACAAGAGGTGGACGAGGGTAAATACTGCGGCATGGTGATGCTGGACCTACAAAAGGCTTTCGACACTGTCAATCACCCCATTCTGATTGACAAGCTAAAAGCAATTGGTTTTGATAAACTATCGGTGAGCTGGATGCAATCCTACCTGGAGGGGAGAGAACAGATGGTGGAGGTAAACGGTACTCTGTCCCCCCCCCCTCCCAGTGAGCTGTGGTGTTCCACAAGGAAGCATATTAGGTCCGTTACTGTTCCTAATTTATGCAAATGACATGTCATCAGCATGTGACTGCAACTTGTTCCTGTTCGCGGACGACTCAGCCCTGCTGGTTGAAAAAACCATCAGCTCCGAGCTCGGCAGAATCTGCACCTGGCTTGCCAGAATCTGCACCTGGCTCGCCGATAATAAATTATCATTACACCTGGGTAAAACAGAGTCCATTCTCTTCGGTTCGAAACATAATCTCAGCAAATCCGACGACTTCTCAGTTGCAGTGGATGACATTATTGTCA